GAAATTAAAAAATATATGGAAACAAATGAAAATCAAAATATAACAGTCCAAACGCTTTGGGATGCAGCGAAGGCAGTCCTGAGAGGAAAATAGATTGCAATCCAGGCCTATCTCAAGAAACAAGAAAAATCCCAAATACAAAATCTAACAGCACACCTAAACGAAATAGAAGCAGAACAGCAAAGACACCCCAAACCCAGCAGCAGAAGAGAAATAATAAAGATCAGAGCAGAAATAAACAATATAGAATCTAAAAAAACAGTAGAGCAGACCAATGAAACCAAGAGTTGGTTTTTTGAAAAAATAAACAAAATTGATAAACCTCTGGCCAGGCTTCTCAAAAACAAAAGGGCGATGACCCAAATAAATAAAATGATGAATGAAAATGGAATTATTACAACCAGTCCCTCAGAAACACAAGCAATTATCAGGGCATGCTATGAAAAATCATGCCAACAAACTGGACAACCTGGAAGAAATGGACAAATTCCTAAGCACCCACATGCTTCCAAAACCTAAAGTTACCTGGTGTTGTTGTCATTTTGATATTAGGGTGGATTGTGCATATCCATAAATGGGGTCTTGTTTTGCACTTTTTTTAAATCTTACAATGCGTAATGAAATGTTCTCCATGTTAATATAGTTGCATCTGCACCCTAGTGTTGACGGTGCTGTTGTATGGCTGTGACACGTAAATACTTTATGTGTTTCGCCAGTGTCCTCTTGTTGGACTTTCAGGTTGTATACGTTGTGTCTTTTTTATTTCTTTGCCATAACTAAACCCAAAGTAAATGAGAAAGAGAGAGAGGAAAAAAAGGAAGTTGTAATGAACTTCCAGTGTATATATATTCTATTTTATTGTCTCCTTGGCATGAATTCCTAGAAATGGCGTTGTTGTGTTGAATGGTAAGCGTATTTAATATTATTTTTCATGCTGCCACTCTGCTTTCTGGAAAGATGGCATCAAAGTACAACATCTGTCAGCTGTGTGTGAAAATGCCCGATTTTCTACACCTGTGCCAGAACTAGGTTCTGTCCACCTTTCAACTTTGGCAAACCTGAAAAGGGAAAGGCATCTTATACTTACTTTACATTTCTTTTACTGGTATGTTTGAACATCTCAAAGTGTGTGTTGGCTGCTTCTATTTCTTCTTTTGTGACTTGTGATTTCAGGTTTTCGTATTTTTTTGTTGATTTGTAGGAACTCTTTGGATGTCAGAGATGGTGACACTTTTGTCTGTAGGATCTTGGAAATCTTGTGAAGGTTGTGTCGAGTTATGAAGGGCATATAGTATCTCAAATGAGACTAAATCAGTGAGCAAATATTTTTTATGTGTTTCTTGCTGGTGCTCATACACGTGTTTAGAACTGAAACCTGCATTTAGTGTCTCAGAAAGAGTGTTGTATGGTCTGGAAGTTGTGAATACGGTGGGCCTTTTATACCGACATTAGGCGATGCGCAAATGCCAGGAAACTGACACCTTTGACGTGTGTCCACACACACCCTGCTGAACTGTGGGTTGTGCCCTGAGCCTAACTATTCCTTTTCAGCTTGGCTCTTTACTTCCTCTTTCCCATGTTCCAGGTCAGAAACCTCACAGTTATCTGTGGACCTTTTCCGAGGTGAAGGCTATGGGTTCTCAGCCTCCCTTCCCAGAAGGTTAATCCCGCCTCCTCAGGCTGCCCTGCCCCAGACGGTTTCTGCTATTGTTTCAGGCCTCCTGTTAGAATGATCTGATGCTTCTGCTGTAAGACTATGAGCTCCCTAGAAGCAAGATGGGGACCTTACTTACTTTTGTACCTTCAGACTCTTATCACAGCATGACTGAAAATAAGCATGTCATAAATGTTCGTTGTATTTGATCTTTCCATTTAAAAGATGACAATGCGTAAGCCCCTGTAGTGTACTGGTACATTAACCATTTTCCTCAACTTTTTGTTCTGAAAAATTTCAGAAGTTCAGGAGAGTTGAAAGAATATTCATATTCTGCCCCCTAAATCTACCTATGGAGATTCATCTCACTCTGACACGTAGCTGATTCTCTGCTCAGAAACCAACAGTGACTCCATTCTGGGCATTGGAGCAGATGTGAACTGTAGCATTCCTTGTCCTTAAATGGTCACAGCTCACAAAATGTTGCCCTCTCTGCTCTGGTCCTGCTCTGTCTGCTCTGTCTATTCTTAATGTCGTTGATTTTACACATTACTTCCCTCTGTAGAACATGCCTCTTTTTCTTGATGGAAACTTTTGCACATTAAGTGTTCTGAGTTCCTATAGCTCTAATGGCTAATTTTTATCATTCTTTCATTCTGTAGAGTTCCTGACCACATGACTAGCTGTTAGGAGGTGAGTGCTGAGGCCCGTTTTGATCTTGTTACCTTCATAGAGCCTGGCACGCCCACTTTGGATTTGGCTGTTATTTTATAATAGCATTCCTGAAGCATTTGTGCCATGATGTGAATCCAGCATTGATTTATAATACCTATGTTGCCCCAAAACTTATGCTGTGTTGGAGTAAGAGAAAAACTTATCAGTCTAAGCCAGATAACCTAGGTCTGTTTGATCTGCTTGTTGCAAGATCATAATTCACCCTAAAGAATGGAAGACTGTTCTGTGGTGTTGGTCATTCCTTTTGTGATTATTCCCAAGAATTGATTTGCACGTGTACTTTGGAGTCATTAAAACCCACGTCAAGTACAAAGTTAGAATAAGTAAGTCTAAAGTCTGGAAATTGTCTCTGCTGTGAATCACTGGGTTAGAGAGATTCACACGAGAAACATTTTAGAGGGAGGCCATTAGGCCTTAGTGACTGATGCCATTTGTGGATATCCAAGTTGACCAGAGTACTTTTCAAGCGTGGAAATGGAGATAAAGATGATATTCCTGAGAAAGAGAAACTAGGAAAGGAAGCTGATACTGGGGACTTCAACTCCATACCTAAGCATGAACTCGGACCAGGTCAATTCCCTGCTCTTACTGAACTGATGACTCCCATCGCTTATTTGACAAAGCCCCGTTCCTTTGTAGTCACGGTCCCTGGTTAGATACCTGCTCATTCCCATCCTGCACCCCCCCACCCCTACACCCACAAGTGGTGCTGTAGCCACACCTAATCACTTGTGTGTCTCTGATTCTGTTGGCTATTTTTCCTCTCTATTTTGTACAGGAATACTGTTTCTTCTACGTAGAATGCCATCCAAGTCTCGCCAGCAAATTCCTGTTCGTTCCTCTAAACCCTGTTCGGGTGTCAGATCTTTTGTAAATACTTTCTGACTCTTCCTGTGTGACAGTGTATTTTACACTTTTTGTCCTTCCCTTATCTGGTGTCCTCCCTGCCGTGTTCTAAGCTGCCTACGGGAAAGGATGATGTTCCCCCTGACTTTGTATGGGCCTGGCTCACACATGTGCTTTCAACCATTGGTTGAGCCTGTCTCATGTCCATCTGGATCATGAGAAATTTTCCTTTCTCCTGGGACCCAGAATTAGGTGTAATTAGGAGAAAATACAAATACATATTTTTTTATATGTTTCCATATATTTCACTTTTCCATTATAACCCATGTGCTTTTTATTTTATTTTAATTTCAGCACATTTGTAAAAGATGAAAGTGACCTTATCAGCTTTGGATACTTGTGAGAGTTCCTTCACACCTTTGGTGGTCCTAGAACTTGCTCAGGATGTCAAAGAAGAAACCAAAGAATGGCTGAAAAACAGAATTATCTCTAAAAAGGAAGATGGAGGCAAGTAAAACAAATATTACTCAGACTTAGCCATGATCAGTGACTAAAAATGTATTTTCAAATGTTTTACAGTTTTTTCCCTGATATATTTCTAAAATTAATATCCATTTCTTTGCTCTTTATTATTTATCTGGACTTGAAAGGGAATCTAAGTCAGCATTAGACTGTAAGCAGCACGAGTGTGATTTTGTTCACAGCTATAAATGCTGTGCCTAGTACACTGCCTGGTGCACAGTAGGTCAATATTTATCAGATGAGTGGACAGGTATCTATTTGTGTGTCAGATATGGTGCTAAGAGAGAGATTAATACGGTCCCTGCCTGAAAGAACGTTACTGTGACTGTTACTGTCGGTGTAAGGAGACTGAATGTGGATTTCTGGAAACTGAAGTAACAACAACAACAACAAAAACAAAAAGAGAGAGCTGTTACAAAGCAGTGCACGATAGTTCAGAGTGAATTGTTTGTAAACTAGCTGGAAGAGGAAAGGGAAGAAAGAGGAGACCCTTGGTGATGCTTTTCAGGATGGAAAGGGACGACTTTATAGGAGAAGCCAAAGCTTAGCCCTCTCCCAAAGGGCAAAAGGGGGTCTACATCTGGGGGAAAGAGTGGAGGACATTTTACATGAGGAAACGTTTCATAAAACTGTACAAAACAATACCTAAAACTTCACCAAGTCTCCAAACACTGAATACAACTGAGACTTTTTTTTTTTTTAAGATTTTGACTGTAAACTGAAGTGCTTTCTTAAAAATAAAACCTTGAATCAAAGTGGGATTTTTGATTTTTTGGAAACAACCAAGCCAAAAGAAAACTTGAAAACGAGAGTACCTGCTTACTAAAATCAGAGGTGTTTCACTGGATTGGAGTTCGTTCGTTCATTTGTTCTTTCTTTAAATGTTTATTTTTAAAAAAATTTTTTTAAACGTTTATTTATTTTTGAGACAGAGAGAGACAGAGCATGAACAGGGGAGGAGCAGAGAGAGAGGGAGCACAGAATCTGAAACAGGTTCCAGGCTCTGAGCGGTCAGCACAGAGCCCGACGCGGGGCTCAAACCCACGGACTGTGAGATCATGACCTGAGCCGAAGTCGGACGCTTAACCGACCGAGCCACCATCAGGCGCCCCTAAATGTTTATTTATTTTTGAGAGAGAGAGAGAGAGACAGAGTGTGAGAGGGGAAGGGGTAGATAGAGAGGGAGACAAATCTGAAGTGGGTCCAGGCTTTGAGCTGTCAGCACAGAGCCTGAAGTGGACTCGAGCCCATGAACCGTGAGATCATGACCTGAGCTGAAGTTGGACGCTTAACTGACTGAGCCCCCCAGGCGCCCTTGGGTCCCTTCTTTAAAATTCCTGTGATGGAAGAGCTTTTGTCGTGCCTAAGAGTGAGGGACTTTCGTGTATTCCCAGTCTTCTCTGTTCCTTGTGTGGAACAGACACACAAGAATGGGGAAGCAGCGAGCATCTTTCTACTGTTGGGAAAGCAAAAAAGAACATTCCAAAAAAGCATCTTCATCTTTCAGGTAAGGGTAGTAGGTTCAACACTCATGTTTACTGTTACTCTCTTCTAAACTCCTATTGAAATGACAATAAAAGGATCTTTTAAAAAAGATAATAAGTCCAGGTTGACAAAGAAGAAAGGAAAGAATATAACAGCAGCACCATTTTGGAAGCTAGAAAACAGGTGGATGAGTGGTGAATAACTTCTCAGATTTGACAAAGCCAAAGCTGAAGCTGGCAGGGGTACAAGTTGAGGTACAGTTTGGTTTACACTGCAGACTGAAGACTTCTAAAGACTTAGGTATTAGTGACTGTAGAGACCTGTGGAGGCAGAAATAAGTGCTACCAAGAAAAAGGAAAAAGAATCGACCAAGATCCATTTGAGAAATAGTTAGCTCCCCTGATCCCTTCTGTATTCTACCATCGGAGCAGAAGAGTGTGAATTATTCTCTGCAGAGGGTCAGATGCTTGGATTTTGTAATGGGGGATTTATGCACAGTTGAAAACAGAGATTCTGTACTGAAAATAGGATAATAACTGAGTATTATTACCCCTGTCCTCCACCCCACGGATCTCATACCTAATTTAGTATCCAAAATATTAGCTAGAATCAATCATCTAGGAAGCAGATTGAATAATCTTTCCTGGGGACTCTGACCAGAGTCAGAGTCAAAGACAAAATAACCAAAGGCAAAATAACCCAAGGTGCAGAAATCAGAGAGTTGCCCATGAGAAATGACCTGGCCAGATGACTGTGCATGAAAGGCCATCTTTAATGAACTCCATCTAAACCTTCAGAAGTTCACCGTACCCTGTTGGAACACCTTTCTTAAACATGCGCATACAATAAAAGATCAAACATCTGAGGAAAATCCCTAACATGAAGGAGAAAGCTAAACTAAAACAAACAGACAAAAACCAAGAGGAAATTAAAAACTCAACTCTCAGTTATGAGAAGGTAGAACATTCTATAAATCAAGAGTTGGATGCTGTAAAATATTCATTTAGGAAAAAAGCTCTTAGAAAGTGGAAATATGAAAGCCAAGTTTAAAAACTCAGTCAAAGGATTAGAAGGTAATTTTGATAAAACCTACCAGAAGGTAGAGCAAAAAGTTACAGAATTGGAAAATTTGACAGAGAAAAAATAAGGAAGTTAGAGGACTCGTCCAAGAGGTACACATCTGAATAAAAGGAGTTCTAGAAAGGGAATGGAAGAAAAGGAGAAGAAATCATCTGAGGAAAACTCAAGGTTGATGCCATGCTTTTTCAGCTGGAAAGGGCCCACCTCGTGCCCAGCACTGTAAATGAAGAGGCCTGTCATTGGGAAGTTCTGGAACCCTGGGAATGGAGAAGATACTACAAACTTCAAGAGAAAAAGAAAAAAGGTCACGTATATAATAATAACACGTATATAAGGATGAGACTTCGTAGCAGAAACATGGGAAGCTAGAAGGCATTTTCTGAAGGAACTTGACTTATGTGTAGTTCTTATCTATTTGGGAGATACGTTTGAATTGTTAATACAATTTTCCTTATATCAAACTAGAGACAATACTTACTTAGAATGTTTTCGTTCTTGAAACTTTTCTGAGATTGTGCTTATCTTTTGTTTTTGAAGGTGCCCAGCTGCTGTTTAGACCATTGTTAAATAAATATGAGAAAGAAACACTAGAAAATCAGAACTTATATCTTGTCGGTGCCTCCAAGATTACATTGTTACTGGGTGCAGAAGCAATGGGTCTGGTAAAAGAGTGTAATGACAACACTATGAGAGCCTTCACATATGGAACCCGATATAACTTCAAAGATTTTGATGGTGAGTCCCAAGATTGTTTCTGTCAGAATCATTTTACCTCACAAATAAGTTTTTGATCAGTAGATCAGGGGTCAACAGACATTTTCAGTAAAAGGCCAAATAGTAAATATTTTAGGCCGTGTGGGCCATACGTCCTCTTACAGTTACTCGACACTATCCTTGTAAAGCAAAAGCAGCCCTCGACTGTAAGAAATGAAGGGGTGCAGCTGTGTTCCACTAAAATTTGCTTATAAAATATGGCCCATGGACCTTACTTTGTGATCCGTGGAATAGATGAACATAAATTAGGGTGACAAACGTAACTTATTACTATTATTCTGTTCTAATTCTTAGAATGGTGTATATTCACTAGCTTGATACAGAAAAATGTTATAATGAGAAATGCAGTAGTTCAGTATTCTAGAATTGCCGTTTCCTGGTAGAGTACCTCGTTCTGTTCTGGCCTCATAGCCCGTTCCAGAAGAGAGTGGTTTCTGGAAAGAACTGAGAAAGCCAAGGTGGCTGTGAGGTCAGAGTGGGAGTTTGGCTTCAGAATAAACTGGTCCCTTCCAGGGCTTTGGAGTTAGAAGATGTGATTAGGCTTCTTCAAAGTCACTCTGGATTTTTATATCTTTATGCTTTATTAACATAAATGATAATGGTAAAAAAATCACCTCATTTAAGAGGATTCGCTTGTCAAAAAACAGCGCTGTTTTCTTATCAGACTGTCTTCCCCCAATTTTATGGGAGGAATATTCAACTCCAGAAGGGAACAACCTGGGCTGAAGAGTTTGAAGGAGGAGAATTTGTCATGTAGGCAAACTTCAGTTCCATCCCTAGTTAGGATAGTGTTCGAATTCTGCTCATTGGCCTTAAATGAGATCAAGCAGGTGTCTGCCATTTGGATATTTGCACCCTGTTATATAAGAACTAGGACCGTAGTCCCTCGCTCCCCTTAGCTGTGGGCGATTCATTCCGAGACTCTCAGTGGATACCTGACATAGCAGACGGTACTGGGCCCTGTATGGGCTGTGTTTTTTCCCATACGTGCATACCTGTGGTAAAGCTTAATTTATGAACCAGACACAGTAAGAGATCAACAACAACAATACTAAAATAGAACAATGGTAATCATCTGCTGTAAGAAAAATGGCGCAAATGTGGTCTCTCTCAAAGTACCTTATATTACTGTATGCACTGGTCTTCTTGTGATGATGTGAGATGATTCAGCTCCTGCCTGCTGAGACGACGTGAGGTGAATGAACTAGGCATTGCGACGTGGTATCAGGCTACCACTGACCTTCTGACAATAGGGCAGAAGGAGGGTCATCACCTCTGGACCATGACTGATGCAGGCAACGAACCGCAAAAAGCAAAACCCTGGATAAGGGGGAGCCATCGTACAGTGATTGAAGGATTGTATTACGTGAAAGCAAACGGTAATTTACTCTTATAAAAAGGCGCTTTATGTTCTATTTAATTTAGGAGTTTTATACTTTGCTTACTCCTTGTGTTATTTATTTATTGTTTATGTCCTCATTTCTATAACTTGAATCTTATTAATTTTATTTTGGCCGTCATGAGAAAATAACTGGAAATTTTTTGTCCTCATTTAGATGACAATGATGACTTCCTCACGATGGCAGAATGTCAATTCATTATCAAACATGAACTCGAAAATCTTAGAGCCAGAGATGAAAAGATGATCCCTGGCTACCCCCAGGCAAAGCTGTATCCAGGAAAGTCGTTATGTAAGTCGTGCTATCAGCCACTTCACGGACACATGTTCTGATGCAGTTGTTTTTGCTTAGCGGATGAATAACAAGTTAAAGAAGCTTTGTTGTTTTCTTACTGAAAAACATAGAACTTTATAATAACATATTCTCATGAACATGCCTTTTGCCGTTAGGGCTTCGTTCTATTGTACCTTTAGATCAACGTATTTGTTCTGTGTGGTTTGCTACTTATTTACCAAGATGTCGCAGCATTTGGTTTGCTTCAAATTGGGTGTGAACGCATATGCGCATTACTCAATACAGATGAGCAAAGTTTGCATCATGCCCAGATGAGGAGCGAAAACGGGAGCCCCTGTCTTTTCCTGGAGCCCCCTTTCCGCCTCCTGCCCTTTCGGTGGGTGAGCACATGGGAACAAGGCTTAGGAAGGGTCACAGGGTGACATGATACCTGAATGCAATGAGCAGCTTGCAGCTTTGTGATTTGCTGCCATCCCATTTGACAGAGAATACTAGTTTGCAGATAAAGTGCTCACTACAGCGTGTGATTCCAAGTCTGCCTCCTCCCCCCACCCCCCAGGGTGGCAAGGCCTCAGAGCATTTTTGCTGCCCAAATATACTTTAAGCACGTAAGCTACTGTGTTCTCTAGTCAGTTTAATACTACCTTCCGGGCTTCACCCAGCGGGACAGATGCCTGGGAAGCAGTCCACGTTCAAATTTTCCCTGTTGTCATCAAATACATATTAGGGTCGGTTTGTTCAAACCAAGGTCCAGTCACAGATCACCCATTTTGTATGGTGGTTGTGTCTCTCAACTCTCTTTCTCTTATTGTGATAAAGTGCACATAACATAAAATTTAAAGATTGAAGATAAAAAATTTAAAGATTTTCACTGGTATTAAATACATTTGGCATATTGTACATTGTCCTCACCATGCCTCTCCATAGCTCCTTCCATCTTGTAAAACTGAAACTCTGTATCCATTACACAATCACTCTGCCTTCTCCCCTGGCCCCCTGCCCAAGCAGCCACCTTTCTACTTTCTGTCTTTGTGGTTGTGACTACTCAAATGAGTGGAATCATACAGTGTTTCTCTCTCTATGACTGATTTATTTCACTTAGCATTGTCTGCTAGGTTCGTCTATGTTGTAGCATATGTTGGAATTTCCTTCTTTTGAAAGACTGAATAGTATTCCAGTGTGTGTGTGTGTGTGTGTGTGTGTGTGTGTGTATACACGTGTATGCCACGTTTTGCTTGTTTACTCATCCGTCAGTGGACCCTTGGGTTGTCTCCACCTTTTTTCTATTTAGAATAATCCTTTTATGAACATGGGGTGCAAATATCCCTTCAGGGTCCGGCTTTCAATTATTTTGGGTATATACCCAGAAGTGGAATTTCTGGATCACATGGTATTGCTATTTTTAATTTTTTGAAGTACCTCTATACTGTTTTCTATAGCAGTTGTGCCCTTTTACATTCCCATCAACAGTACCTAAGAGTTCCAGTCTCTCCACATTCTTCCTCTCCAGCATCTATAGTCTCTTGGTTTGCTCATTTTAGCCACTCTGACCGGCGTGAGGTGGTATCTCAGTGTAGTTTTCATTTGTATTTCCCTGATGAGGAGTGACGTTGAGCATCTTTTCATGTGCCTATTGGCCATCTGGGTGTCTTCTTTAGAGAACTGTCTAGTCATGTCTTCTGCCCATTTCTTCACTGGATAATATGTTTTTTGGGTGTCGAGTTTGATAAATTCTGTATAGATTTTGGATACTAAGCCTTTATCCGATATGCCATTTGCAAATGTCTTCTCCCATTCCATCTGTTGCCTTTTGGTTTTGTTGAATGTTTCCTTTGCTGTACAGAAGCTTTTTATCTTGAGGAGGTCCCAATAGTTCATTTTTGCTTTTTGCTTCCTTTGCCTCTGTAGACACGTCAAGTAAGAAATTGCTGTGGCTGAGGTCAGAGAGGCTTTTTCCTGCTTTCTCCTCTAGGGTTTTGATGGTTTCCTGTCACACATTCAGGTCCTTCATCCATTTTGAGTTTATTTTTGTGAATAGGGTAAGAAAGTGGTCTAGTTTCATTCTTCTGCATGTTGCTGTCCAGTTCTCCCAGCACCATTTGTTAAAGAGACTTTTTTCCATTGGCTGTTCTTTCCTGCTTTGTCAAAGATTAGTTGGCCATACTTTTGTGGGTCTAGTTCTGGGGTTTCTATTCTATTCCATTGGTCTATGTGTCTGTTTTTGTGCCAATAACATGCTGTCTTGATGATTATAGCTT